ACCACGCCGCAATCCCTTCTCCTCCATTCTCCTCTAGCGATCTTGGGCACGCCCACATGCGTGCCCGGCGTGAGTTTTAAGCCACCGGGTCCAAGACACGAACCACAGTCGACTAGGCGGGAATCCAGCGACATATCCATTATGCTAACTGCTGGTCCCAAGGTGCTTTGCTTTTTAAAATTCTATCTCATGGTAGAGAATTCGCTCAGATTTCTCACAATGCTTAGTTATCTGTTTAAGGGTGGGGGATTAAAAAGGTTTCTTGGAGCTCAAATGTGGGGCCTGGTGATCTGGTGTTGACAATAGAGAAGTAAGATAGATTAATTAGCAATTCCTGTGTAAGGGCATCTTAAAAGTCTTCCCTGAGTGGGCAGATCCTAGATAAGACTTTTCTAATTTCTTACTGGGGGGGGGTTGTGTGGTGATGATGGTGGCAAAGGCCTGACTCTCATCTTTCTGGAACACTAAAAGGGAATGTGTATACACACACTTAATAATAAGAAACTAGGAGAGAGAATGTGTGTGTATACATTCTCTATGAGTGTCTCAGCATACATTCCTCCTATTTTTCATACTGAACCTCTGAACTCAATAGTGCTTGGCATTTCTGGGGACCAGCAGTTAGCGTAATGGCTATGTCGCTGGATTCCCATGCAGTCGACTGCAGTTCGCGTCCTGGACCAGGTGGCTTAAAACTCACGCTGGGCACATGTGTGTGTGTGCCCAAGATCCCGAGAGGAGCATGGAGGAGAAGGGATTGCAGTGTGGCCATCCCCCCGGGGGGTGATTTCTCGCTTTCTGTCTCGTCTGTCTGGCTGGCGAGCGCATGCGCCCTATAGCAAAAAACCTCTTCAAAAAAAAAAAAAAAAATAGTGCTTCGCATGTCTTAATCAAGAAAACCATATGGGGGCCAGTAGGTGGCGTATGGTTAAGGTTGGATTCCCTCATGGCCGACCATGGTTTAAGTCTTGGACCTGGTGGCTTAAAACTCATGCCAAGCATGTGTGGTGTGCGTGTATGTGTGTGCATGTGTACCAAATCCCAAGAGAATGGAAGAGAAGGGATTATAACGTGGCTATCTCTCCCGGGGGGTGATTTCTTACTTTCTCTGTTTCTCTGTCTCTCCAGTGAGCACAGCACCCTATAAGAAAAATCTCTCTTAAAAAGAAAAAGAAAAGCACTGGATGATATGGCTATTCTCTCCCTGTCTTCTCTTTCCTCATTTGTAAGTCAGCTTTTCGGCTAGAGATACGGTGCACAGATTTATAGCGCTCCATGACAGGTGATAATGAAATGTAAGAAAGATGATTTCAGCCTCCTTGTGCTCCAACCAAGGCAATGAAGAACACAATGCTTTCTGCTTACATGTTGCTCTTATGTGTGTAACTGTATATGAATTTTTAATATACATATTTTATATCTCCTCGGAAGCATCTGGATTATGCTAATAGCAAGTTAGCAGGCCACATCATTCAGAAGAGACAGGAAATTAATATTCCTAAGGGGAGAGGAAATTAGATACTATTTGAGAGAGTGAGGCATCCAGCTCCTAATGAAAAACAGATTTTGATAAGGCAGTATTACCACCCTCAATGTGTTTGGTGAATATTAAGCTTTATTTACTTTTTTCGTTGTTTCCACACCTCCAAAGGCTTAAACATACAGGTAGCTGGCAGACCCTCAGCAAGTCCCAAAATGCCACAATTCTCCCAACAACGAGGATTCAGGAAACTTGAGTCCTAGCCCAGCTTTTTGCCAAGCAGGCTGAGATCTCAGGCATTATATTCAGGCCTGAATCGATCCTCTCATCATCTATAAAATAATAGTTCCAGGACCAACAGATGGCGTAGTGGCTACATGGCTGGACTCCTTCCCACATAGTCCACCATGGTTCGAGTGCCAGACCTGGTGGCCTTAAAATCATGCCAGGCATATATGCGTGCATGCCCAAGATCCCGGGAGGAGAATGGAGGAGGATTGCGGCATGACCATCCTCTCTGGGGGGTAAATTTCTCACTTTCCCTCTCACTGTGTCTGTCTCTTCACCTCCCCACCCCCACCACCACCCAACCTCCCTGCAAGTGCATGTGCCCTAAGGCAAAAACCTTTAAGAAAAACTAATAATAATAATCCCCACAATTCTTTCACTCGTAATTTTTCATTATTGGCAAACAATCGAAAGTAAAAAATTAAAAGTAATTTACTCTTTTAAATCATTTGCATTTACTTAATACTAATGCAGGACCAGCAGTTAGTGTAATGGCTATTGTCGCCGGACTCCCATGTAGTCAACTGCGGCTTGAGTCCCAGACCCAGTGGCTTAAATTCACACTGGGTGTGTGTGCGTATGTGTCCAAGATCCCAAGAGGAAAATGGAGGAGAAGGGATTGCAGGTGGACATCCCCCCAGGGGATGATTTCTCACTTTCTGTCTGTCTCTCTCTGCCTTTCTGGTGAGCAAACACACCATATAGCAGAAACCTCTCAAAAAAAAACCCTAATGCAAACCTTTTTTGGGGGATGGGTGTGTCTAGGTACCAGAATTTAGTCTGAATATCAATCAACTGCATGGAAATCCTACTCCTAAAACTCAATTTTACCAAGAAATATAGTTATTAAAAGTACATTTAATGTAATTTCTTTCATTTCAGATTGTCAGATAATGTAAGACTACCAGCTAAAGACTTGTTGGGAGGGAGTTGAGGTATAGATGCTCACAATTTTTTATTATCTCAAACTATCAAAGTTCCATCTATAAGCTAAACTGATTTTTGTCAAAGATTTTATAATTAGCCATATTGTTTGTTCATCAAGTGAGCCTCAGTACCGCAGCAACTGGATTTTCCTGCATTACAGGGGGACATTTTAATAAACTAAAAATTGGCAGTTAAGACGGTTTCAAAAAGGAAAGGAAAGAAGGGGCATTCTTTCACATTTTGCTGTCTTATCATAACATATCCATGAGGTAAGATTTATATATTTTCTGCATGCTTTGATGTACTGTGCCTTGGTGTAAATCCTAAGTGTTGTTTCTAAATAATTATTATTTTTTCTTTAATTTGACCAGAGAGAAACAGAGAGAGGGACCGTGATAAAGGAAGCCACCAGGTCCTGGACTTGAACCACCATCAGCTATGTGTGAGTCTAGCGCTTTCACCACCATGCCACCTGCCCACCTCTCAATTCTAGTTTTCATCATGGACCCTGCTCAGCAGACTCCAGGAAAGTCATTTAATTGGGGGTCAGTCGCCTCACTTTGAATTTGTGAGGATAAAATAATAAAATCAAAAGCATTCTAAAAACAAAATAGGAAGGACACATATCAAAGATTGCCGCTGTGGCTAATTAGCTTAATTATGTAAGTGCCTGCGAAGAGGACATGGCTGGGCCTACCGCACGTCTTGGGTTTTTGGGCGCAATGCGCTCTGAACCCCATCCTGTCTTTCAGAGCTGAATAGGACCAACGCTATCCTTGCATTAGTCCACTATACTTGACCTACTCCGGAAATAACATCATTATCTTAGGCATTCCTCTCAACCAGACCAGATATCTGTCACAGCGTAAGACTCACATTCACTATCAAGCTTTTTCTCTTGGGGCAACCTCAAGCACAGAAATCCATCTGAAAGATAAGGATGCATAAGCAGATAGGAATCACTACTCTGCTGGCTTTTTATGCCTACAGGTGGTAACTGCTCATAACCAGTGGTGACCCAGCGGGTGAAGTCAGCAGTTTTCAAAAACAGAGCACGACGTGCATTAGCCGTGCAACACCATTTCTTAAAAATCTACTGCTACAAAAGCACTTGGAATTGTCAAATAGGTGCTCAAAGGAAAAAAAAAGGGGGGGGGGAGTCCTTAGCCACAACTCTGTAGTGTTACTACTGTAACAGACAGAGGAAACTGACTAGGGGGTGGTGCCAGTGCCGGCTTTCTAGAGTCCTCGGAATCGCTACACCGTGCGTGCCTGAAGCTGGTCTCCCCGCAGCCAGGGCTGCGATGGCCTTAGCTCTGGTAGCATGGACCTTTACCTCGGGAAGGGTGAACCAGCAGTGGCGTTACTGCGATGGGTCACAAAAATTGCCATTATGGCCAAAGAGTTCTGCAACCTGAGGCCTCTGTTGGGCTCCCCAATCCCCTCCCTTAAGGAGAGCGCGCGCGCCCATGGGGGCCCATTACCATCCTGCAGGATGAGGGTGGGCTAGGCCTGCACCGCCTGCACTCGGAACTGCCTGGCCCTCCAGCCAGGGCTGGGCGCCCGCACCACCTCACTGTCGGACAGCCAGGTCACGGTCTCAAAGTTGTCCCCGCGAGCCAGTGCCTCGGCCTCGGCGTGGTGCACTGCCACCCGGTCGAACTGGTAGAGGCCGCCGGAGTGGTCGAAGTGCACGTGGGTGGCCACGGCCAGCAGCGGCCGGCGTCCCGCATCCTCTTTGGCCCCGCGGTCCTGCAAGAGGCCGGAGGAGTACAGGTACTCCGGGAGGCTGCGCAGCCCCAGGCCCGTATCGATCACCACGTCCTGCTCGGAGCCGCGCACCAGCCAGATATTGGCGCGGTTGCCCGACTCGTAGAAACGTTCTTGAATCCAAAAGATGCCGTCGCCCAGAGATTTGTGGGCGTACCACTCAAGCGCCGACATGCTGGGCACGGGTGCGGCCAGGCGGGGAGGGTGTGGGCGTGCGTGCCTCCCACAGGCTATCCAGACCCTGGGCGCTGCGGCGGTGTGCAGCCGTGT